TAGAATGTAATGTATCTTGTAAGTTCACGACCTATTGCAGGTCAAAGTCAGCCATGGTTTCAGTGAAGGCAATTTCTAGGGAATCGTTCAATGTGATCCAACGACGGAGTGATGAAGCCATAATTTCTGTGATGCTTTCTTAGGCCACACAAATATTGAATGAGCAAATCATGTTGATCTAAGGTTAGGTATGAAGGTCAGACCAATGTCAAAGCCAACCTGTTTCATTACTCTAGGGCTCGCTGCGTGGGATAGTTTCTGGTGCTCAATTCGAATTTATTGATAGCAGGAACCGTATTATATAACTTTCATGGATTTCTTAGAGATCAGAATAGGTCATTGACCTAAAATGATCCACGTCAACATTTTGTTTTTCGAAACATACTGCCCAGCGTAATTCTTGTCGCTCATTCAAATGCCAAACTCAAAGCAGTCCTGTATGATTTTGTTCACCATGACCTTCAAAAGGTCAAACAAGGTCACTTACCCTAAATGAGCATGTGAACTTTTGCTCGCAAACAGTTATCTGGTTGGGGGCACTTTGGAGACCAACCTGGAATTTGACCTTGTTTGACCTTATTTGACCCGAAAGTCATGACCTAGGAACATCAAACCTTGACTTAGTAATTTCACGTACAGGTCAACACCCTGCAAATTAGTGTCTTTAGCTTTTTAGTTTCCGAGATCTCACAGGGATCAAATTGCCCCCCCCCCCCCCACACACTCGATCGAAGGGTATTTAGCAGGCCACCAGGGCGCGTGCTAGTACTGCGCGCGAAGCTCACAACAAAAACAAACGTATTGCATGCAACATCACTCGTCACAGCGAAAGCCCATAACCCTCTGAGTAATTTCATGGCCTAATGCTCCGAAGACCTCTGCTTGTGTATTTTTTCTGAGATTCTGAGAAGCATCGTGGTGTTGGCGTCCGCTCTTTGTTAGTAGCGATTGCGTCCCGCTTAGTGGAGAAAATTTACTGCGTTTGTCCCGGTCGGGTCCACGTGCCCTGCTGCCGAGGTCGGCGTTCTGCACGTGTCGCAGATAGTCCAGGCCCGGTTTGTTTGTCTTGCCATCACTGGACGAACCCTCGACCTCGGTGATCTGGCGAGCAACGGTGCAAGTCGCTGCCAGCACTCCGCCACCCCCCCCCCCCCCCCCCCCCCCGGATCGGAACAGCCCGAGTCTCGGCAATAACAGCCCGTAATAGTCGAGACGCACCATTGTCAAAGGCGGTCGCTGGAAACAGGCGAGTGTACGGAATCTTTACTTTTTTAAAGGCATCACCGAAACGTGTTTTGGCAGCGGGCGTAGAGCTGCTACATCACCCTTTGAGCGATGCCCTTTCTTTTCGCTGGCCGTCCGCTCTCAGCGCGTCAATATTCCCTCAATAGTTTGATTTTGAGTAGAGTGGTTCCCAAAAAGATTTCAAAATATAAGATAGAGAATAATCTAAATTCTGGCCCTATTGACGAGACATCGTTCTTGTGGGATGATTTCTTCTCAAACTGCATTTATTTCTTGAAGTATATTCTGGTATCTGGCTGGACATTCCCCGCACAAGATTCACTGGTGCATGTGGGGAAATGAGAAGCCTGTAGTGAACCTGGTTCTTGTTCCACATTCTAGTCAACTTTAAGGAGAGTCAGAACATTTCATAAGCCTGCTGGCGTACCCCTGTTTTGCATAACTTTAAACGTGCCCAAGCCTACCCAGATTGTTAAGAAAGCACTTTGCCTAATACGTGGATTCCCCCGCTCGACACGTTTTACGTCCCTTTTACTCGATACGATACGATACGTCCCCACAATTCTACCTAGCCCGTAAAGGCCTTACGAGTCAGGGGCCTAATTTCAGTGCGGTTTCACGGGCGCTGTACACAGGCTGTCAAACTGTCGCCGACACTGAGCGCATGTTCAGGCAGTGAAGTGTTTCAGTATTGTGCGATAGATATGGAAATAATCCAGTAGGAACTTCAATTTGTTTTCTGAACACTAGCCAGCATTAGGTGCCTGCGTGTGTTCAGCCTCGACAGCAGGCAGCAGCAGCGGCAGCAGCTCGGCGGCATGTGATCTTGTTCTGAGTTCTCTGCGACACTGCCGTACAAACCATGCACTGGCACGGCACTCGTCGCCTCGCACTGAGCAGAGACTCCCCGCCGGGTCTCCTCCCGACTTCAGTTGCCAGCCTCTCCGCGGTTCGTCGATAACTCTGCGCTCCGTTAGAAGCTTTTTGAAGCGCTTGAGGTCTGTGACATGGATGATGAATCCACACCACGTCTTGTCTCAGGTGTTAACCGTTTTATTAACCGTTTGAAGACCGGTACTTTCTGGGCTTCAGAAAAAATCTCACGTCTCTTGAAAGTCTCGCGCATGGCTTGATGAAGGGATGTTGCCTCTTGGGTTTTCATGTGAAGGAAGTATAAAACATTCCCAGACTGGCATCACATCAGACATCAGGCGTCATCAGGCGACTTTAGATAATACGCGCAACTATTTCATGCACATTTATTTTCACTATAAGCGATAAGCACCTTCACCAGACTCTGTACCAGCCAGACCCGTTCCGATTCGCGCGATTAAATAAGTCTCTCAAGGTGAGACAGTCAAGGCATCCGGTACCTAGCTTTCACTCCTACGACCAGCATAAACAAGCAGTAAATCTCAAAGCGAAGTGAAACCGCCACATCCTGCAAGTTTGGACAGGTGTGAGTCTCTTCTTTGCGTGAGTCTCTTCTTCGTTGTCATATTGCACCATGACGAAGCACTGAGTGAGTTAGCATAGTAACACTTAAAATGCACTACTAATTATTAAAGCTACCAAGATGCGTAATGACCCGGATCACAGCAGCACCGTTCTAGGAGAGCTGAAGAGCACCTTGTTAGTCAGACCTCAGGAGCCGCCAGCACAGAACCGCCCCTGGCAGAGGACACCGGCCAAACTCTGGTCCAGCGCGCGCCGACAGCGTCAACATGTCAATACCGCGTCCACTGACGGCCCTGAACGGCGCACCGGCGTGGAGCGAGCCGGACCGACCTCTCCCACCGCGGACAACCAGCCTCTGCCGACCTCTCCAGCCGCGGACAACCAGCCTCTGCCGACCTCTCCAGCCGCGGACAACCAGCCTCTGCCGACCTCTCCAGCCGCCGTCACGGTCGTGATCCGTCCGCACGGCAGAGGCCAGCGGCTGCCGGCTCTAGTAGAGGCCCGCGGCAGGCCCGCGGCAGAGCCCGCGGGGCCCGCGGCAGAGGCCTGCGGCAGAGGCCCGCGGCAGAGGCCCGTGGCTGCCGGCTCTAGCGCCGCATCGACGGCCTCCGCAGCAGGTCGGAGACGGTACGGTAGCGGCACAGGATCTCGTCCCAGTCGATGTAGCCGCCCTCGAGCGTGCGCGTGCTGTCGGAGGTGACCGTGTAGCCCCGCCGGCCGTGCATCACGCGTCGGTTGTTGAACACCAGCACGTCGCCTGCGGGAGCGGAGCTGATGCTGACAGGCCCGACACGGCACCTGACGCTCACGTGGTTCGTGCTGCTGTATGTCCGGCCTTATAGACGCTCTTCAAGACATGATGGTTGGTTGTTAGTTACGAATTCATAGTGGTGAAATCTCCAGCCTCGGCACGGGCAGGTAAAACAAACGGCCCGGCAAGCGTCTTGACAGGAATTGTCTATGTTATTGTAAATCCATTGAGCACACATGCAGTATGGAAAGCGGTCCTCATAAATATGTACAGGCGATTTCTTCTACTGCAATGATAGAATTTTCAAGCAAGAGCTCATTAAAAACTTAGCCTAGAAATATCGTCAACCAGTGTAACCTACAAGAATATTAAGTGGTTCAGACTTACCGTCTGCCATTTTATACAGCATGTGGTTTTCCTTCTCCATGCACAAGTCATGTAACATTTTCAGCCCCTCGTACATGGGCTTCACTAAGTCGAAAGGCACGTTCAGGCGGTATGAGCGGGTCGGGTTGTTGAAGCACACTTGGTTCACATTGCCTTCTCCGTCCGTTCTGCAACGAATCAAAAACAATAGGACGATTACCCCCAAGATAAAAAATAGAGCTTCAATGAGAACTGTGAACCATCAGCGTCCAGGTAAAGCATATGAAACTGCTATAACGCTATAAGAGTAAACTTTCGATTTTGGGATATCCTACTTTGTCTTGTCCTACTTCTCGTGAATAACAGAACATTAGTCAACCTGTGTGACACGATTGGTAAATATATGATATCGAAGGAATGGGTTCGATGCCAAGACAGCTTTGCACGCAAACTAATCGAAGATTACAAAAAGGTGGACATTACAATATTTGACATTACAATATTTCTCGGCTGCAATAGCCGGGACGGTAGACAAATTTGAACATAAAAGTTGAGATGTTCGGCTACCCAATATGTAAGATGTATGGCAAATGTCACTGAAAGCACATGCACGGAGGCTCCGTTTTTTGTGTTTGAGAGCCATAGACTCTGACCTGTTATGAGCGCATGGTTTTTTGCGCGCTGCTTTTTCAGCGGCTGCGTAAAGCCGCGCCGGCGCTGCTCCTCGGGGTCAGCTGCGGCGGGTCGCGGGCGGTGCCGGTAGTGGCGGTTGTGATGTCGTGCGTGCGTGCGTGCGTGTGTGTGTGTGTGTGTGTGTGTGTGTGTGTGTGTGTGTGTGTGTGTGTGTGTGTGTGTGTGTGTGTGTGTGTGTGTGTGTGTGTGTGTGTGTGTGTGTGTGTGTGTGTGTGTGTGTGTGTGTGTGTGTGTGTGTGTGTGTGTGTGTGTGTGTGTGTGTGTGTGTGTGTGTGTGTGTGTGTGTGTGTGTGTGTGTGTGTGTGTGTGTGTGTGTGTGTGTGTGTGTGTGTGTGTGTGTGTGTGTGTGTGTGCGTGTGTGTGTAGCATTCGCTGAGAACCATTTTAATCTCTACATGTAAAGAAGAAAAAATACCAGAACGGTTCAATATGACGAAGATTAAGGGCACACGGGGCGAGAGCAAGCACGGCCCAGATAAATGAAAGCACGTCATGACCAATACGATCACGTATGATAATCCAGGGCGATGACGCGCCCTGTCATGTGGTGTTTAAATTCCAGTGTGATAAGTAAAACACACATACACTTTCAGTGGTCACAGTTTGGTGAACCCTTTTACGTAACTAAGACATCTGCGACTGTGATGACGTCACTACCACATGCGCGACTGTGACATCGAACATGAATGTGCATGACAGCTTAGATTACATAAGGCTCTGGTCATTGGACGTCTCCAATCCCGAGGTCATAGCTATGCGAAGATGTCTTCGACGACTTTGGTTAAGTGCATCTATATATTGTTACTGTTTGTGTTAAAACCGCGCGCTGACATATTGCTATTGTTTGTGTATTGCTATTGCTATTGTTTGCCGTTGCATTCTGGCAGTTGACTCTCAAACCTTCTTTGATTAGGTTAACTTGTTAGTGACTGCACCAAGCTTACAGCGTGGAACGCGTGCGCGAAGGACTGCCGGCATGTGTGAAAGTGACCGCCGGTAGAGGTGAAAAAGCTTCCGACTTATGGGATGTAATCGGTGACAAATGTGGGCGTTTTCGCGAGCTACTTGGTCACCAAACGCGAAGATCGAGTCAAATTATCTTTGATACGTGGTAGACAGTTCGGTGGTAATGACACGTTAGCTGCCTTGGCTATTGCGCGAGAGATAATCAAATTCAATAGGCCATCCTAGTTCAAACGGTACTAAGAGCTTAGTGTCGTTATCAACTCGCTAACGTTTGCAGCGTTGTGCTTGCGCAGAACACGTGTTGGAACATTTTCATGAGCATGCTAGGTCACCAAATGCTTCCAAATTACATAGTTTCCAACCGTATAGTTTTCTAGCTGATGACAGAAGCATGCTACAAACTATTCTATATCAGCGCTGACGTCATAGATCAGTGCTGACAGTGTTCTTCCAATGCCCTGGGACGTGAGATAAAGCTGTAAACTCCACTAAATGATCTCCAAAATGGTTATCTCAGTTCACCCAAACACCCACACTAATGTGAAGCACTCTCTTTAACCGGCGCAGGGGCGCTGGAGGTATGCACTAAAATGCGTGATCTTGCATCTTTGATATCTAAGTTGTGTATATTGCCATCATCAGGTGATTGAAGCCCATGTCTACGGTAGATGTGGGAGAGATGTTAGAGACGCAGCGGTGAAATGTTGCGATTGCTATTACCCCCCTCATAGTGAGTACCAAGTGCTTGCAACTCCGTACCACCGCCCTGACAGCGGGGAGGGGGCGGGGTCGATGCCATCCCCAACGGCGTTGTAAGGCTGCCTTTACGGCATGTCGTCCAGCCGCACTCAAATGTTACCAGCCTGGAGCATCCATCGTGCGGTTTCCGTCTGGCATTCATGGCTCCGTAGCAGCGGTGTTTTTTCTAGGAATACTGTACGGCGAATTGCAGCTGGCACGGGCGCCGAGCGGCATTCACGATGCCGCGAAACGTCCGCTGCGGGCTCTGATATTATACAATCATACATTAATATGGTCATACATCATAAACTACGCTGAAAAACATGAAGCTCTGCAGCATTGCGCTCAATATGTAAATGGAAGTATACCCGTTTAGATTTTGTGTTGTTACGAGGCCTGGTCTCGTCCATATTAGCGTATAAGACTGAAAAATGTAATGTTCGGGAAAATTTGACGTTTGACCTGGCTTACATAATGTGGTCAATCATTGATAAAGCAACATGAAACTTACTACCGATCTCAAGCATATCTTTAAATCCACCAGTGTTTTCCCGCTAAGTTCTTTCTTTCTTCCTTTGTAAATGGCAGATGGTCGCATCGATCCCTTCCCTCCCCCCACTCGTTAAGTCCGCGCCAGGAAAAATGGCGAATCCAGGGTGATGCGTTAGTGCTGTGAGCGGTGATATGTTATATGTGAAGCTACCCAAATGCTATAAGGAAAAGCCGCGATTTTGTTCTCTGAGCTACGCTAAACCAGAAGTGCTGCTAAACACTAAACAGGGTCGTCATATGACGAAATGGACGCTGCACCGAAATCCGAAATAATCGAGCGTCCCCGCTAAGCACGATTCTTAATGCGGTTAGGTCACCATGTAAAACCAGGCCAGTAAACAATTAGTTCAGTGGCTGATTTTCCGTTCGTTGGTCTAGATTGGAAAGCATTTCCCTGATGCGGATAATAGAGCCTAGAATATTTGAATTTGGAAGCCATGAAAGCTATGGAATTTCATTTTTGGGCACTACAGTTTTAGAGACGGGTCGTAGCTGCAACATGAAACAATAAAGTAGTTCTCAAATTAATATCGTGCAGCTTATCACGTCGAGGAGAGTATTGCGATCTGATAGCAGAGCGGGTGACGATGGGACTTTCGTGGATACATTGAACATGCGAAAGCTGACACTGGTATCTCTCAACGTGCTCGTAAATGGCGCATGGGTTTTTTTACGTGTAACTTGATGGTCGCAATACGGCCGTTGACGACACATGCTCACACCTTTCTCCACACATGCGACCCGTCTTAGGTCCGAACCGACCTTTGAACGGCTCACCGCCTAAGGCACGCTGCGCCGGCCACCTCGCGCACCCCGCGCGCCCTTTGGCATGCCCAGCAAATGAGACTTTGGTCAGCATATGAAGAGTCTTTAGTAAGCACAGCCACAATGCTAATGTTTGGCATGTTTATGACGCATTGAAATTTAATTCTAACTTGTCTTGCGGTAGTTTATCGCCTTTGTGCAGGTTATCGCATCGCAAGTTTTATCGCTAACGGTATCGTGTGGATATGGGGCTCCATGTGGCCATTCAGGCTGTTCCAAATTTGGTCAGTGAAAGAAAGGGCACTTTTTTCACCCCTAACCTCTGAATGTCCTGAACCCCTCTCACCCTTGAAAAGTAGTGAGATACGCGACACCTACTGTCGAAAGATGAAGCTTTACATTGCACGGCCGGACGCGCCGGACCGAGAGTGATATCGGACCACGAAAGTGCTACCGGACCACGAAAGTGTTATCGGACCACGAAAGTGACATCGGACCACGAAAGTGATATCGGACCACGAAAGTGATATCGGACCACGAGAGTGATATCGAACCACGAGAGTCATATCGGAACCACGAAAGTGATATCGGACCACGAAAGTGATATCGGACCACGAAAGTGATATCGGACCACGAGAGTGATATCGGACCACGAGAGTGATATCAAGTGAATCGCGAGTGATATTAAACCACAAGAGTGATATCGAGTGAACCACGAGAGTGATATCGAACCACGAGAGTAATATCGAGCGACCCACGAGAGTGACGTCGGACCTGTACTCGTGAGATTAACAACATCAAGGCATCAAGGCACGAGACAGAGTTGAGCAGGACGCTTAAGACGGATCGTCGAAGGAAGAAATTGACGCTGGGGCTGAGCCAAGGAGCCCACTGTCGGAGTACCAGCACCAGTTTGCTATCCGAACGGAAACACGAAACTGACTGTCGACGTCGAGACTGCCTGATTTGGCAAGATGCAATGATTGGGCAATGTGGGCTCGTGTGCCAAAGCCACACGCACGAGACTGTCGATCTGGCCACGGCGCCTCCAGCGGTGTCACTCGCCTAAACACGTGTGTGCTCCTGGACCTTGTGGAAGCGGACAGTCTTGGTCCTCCTCTTTCTCGACGCCGACGTCGTCGAACTCGACGGGCATGGCGCGACATCAGCTTGAAGAGGTCGGGGCCGCTGCTGGCGGATCAGCTCGGCCACGTAGAAGCTGTCGGCCCAGCGTGTTCTCGCCGCCGCCTCCCCACGTGCTGGGAGATGCAGTGCAGCATCTGCACCTGCCGCGGCCGCCAAGGAAGACTCGGTCAGCACTTGAGTAATATTTCGAATGGGGTTTGGTGGCGCGGAGCACCAAGAGCTAGATGCTATGCCTGCAGGGACAAAGAGCGGAACACGCCTCTCAAGTCTGCGTATATGGCCATGGCCCCCGGAACACCCAAATCATCATCATCCAGAGGCAACAGAGCACGCTTAGCTTGCCGGAGTGTGACGTTTTTTCAGTATGTCACGATGGCCCGTGGCGAAGCGTTGAGCAATGTTTCATACATGCTCCTTCTAAACACTAGATTGTCGCGCAATAACCTTTACGTTGACAGGCCATGGAGGCCTCCTTGTAAGTTGACGGGAGGTGCTACGGCTTAGAGCACCAGACATTGCCCCTGCAGTTGACTCTGGCGTCATTTGCCATTGCTGGTTGACCCATCATGGGTCGCTGGGTTTTCGCAGTAACAGCCACCAACTTATACCGGGAAAAATCCAGTTTCATACTGGTGATATCCGGGTATTTGTTTATTTGGACCAGCACAGCCGCTACGACGTTTGCAGACAAGCCCCGGAACAAAAATGCATATGCGACGGTTGCTTTGAGCAGTCGTCGTGAGTCACGTGACTTGATAGTGACGCGCCGTGCATACGCTCAGGGGCCAAGAAAGCAGCGCCTGGCAAACACATGCCCACGACTTCGCGGTGTGAGCGAAACGCTTGTCATGACACAGGCCACAAATATAAGACATTCATCCATATGCAGGTTATCTCAGCCCTCTGCCATGTTTCTCCCTCTATGAGCCAGGGGTTTCTAAGCCGCTGCGCCGGCCAGGGGTTTCTAAGCCGTTTTAGCACGTCAGGATCGTTATCTCTAAAACTAGGAAAACTGAGCTCAATTAATGTCCAGCTCAGACTACGACTGTAGGCAAACTTGGGTAATCAACTGCGCGCATATGATTCCCCAGCGAGTTAAAATTAAATGGGGGCACACTTTTTGTTAACCATATACTTTAATGCCTTGTGTTTGTTTTGTTTTTTTTTTACCCTCGACGCATAGCATGCCTGTTGCTTAAGAGGAAAGCATTGTAACCACAGGAGGACCGGATGAACAAACAAAAGAATTTGCACCAAAGCTTTCAACTTCTAGGAAAATTTGATGATGGGTCAATATGTAAAAGTGACGCGATAATTAGCCGCAGCCAGTTTGTAGCGAAGTCCATTGACTGTTTGCGGTGTAACGAACACTTAAGAGGTAGGCGAGAGCAGCTTCAACAACAAGCTAGAGCCTGATAGTGTTGTTAAGTTAAATTTACATACTGCATTAAGCTTCTCGTGATAATTTTTACAGATTTATACAGTCTTATTTCTTTTACGCATTCCCAAGCGTGTTACTGCACACCGGAATAAAGTGCATGACTCCGCATTTGTTCAGCCTGTGGGTAAGGTCACTTCGGGGATAGACCACTTCTCGGCGGACGTTGCCAATGCTGCACTCACCCCAGGGATGTATTCGTAGTAGGGCTGGTCCAGGTGCAGTGACAGGGTCTCGCTGGTGTATGCTAGATTATTGGCGTCCAGCTTGCTCATCACTCTGAATGTCTTCCTGTGGGCGTAGCAGACGTGATCATCTATTAACTGCCAGAGGCAGGTAATTTACTTGATACGGTTAGTTCAACCAGTTTAACAGGTAGTCATCAGACAGCTTACGTAGATGTTGCATCGCTCCAAATGGCAGTACAATGACGAATATATCTTCGAGTCTGATGTATGCTCTTCGCCCGAGAGTTAGTGTAGGCACCCGCGAACTACACTCGTTAAAGCCTCGCGTCGTGCAAAAACCTCAGTCGCTTGCTTTTAAGCACGCCCATGTCCGTGGCCATGCTTGTATACACCAAACGTCAATCATGTGAAACGTTCTGACGTTCGCCAGACCTAGACAACGACACCAAAGTAATCTCCGAAAGCGACCAGCATGGCATTGCGCACTTCTTACGCGGGAAAGGTTCAAGGCGACACGACTTCGACAAGGTCTACAGCACTTGGCCGCACAGAAAAACATGTTAGCCCTGGTCCTGCACTAGCTGCGGCCTCGCCACAGGTGCCGGTGGCTGGATGCTGCGGGTTGTTGTGGCCGACAGCTGACAATGGCCCCCCGTCTGGACACTGCTCTCAACGGGGCTTCAAATGTGTTCCCCGTGAACAAACTCACTCGCACAGCCCTTCTGCGTAAGGGACGGAGGTGTCATGTAGGGCGATTACTTACCCCTTGTCCCCATAAGAGGCGAGGGAAGGGAGTTGACGCAACTTCCTACGATTTTTGAGAATAGCTCTCCGTTCTATGGGATAATTGCGCCCAAATTTTCAGTAGCCTCCGGGTAATTCATTGAGCGTATTTGCATGGTAAAAACGTCTCGAACTTTCTGGTTTGTTAGCTGTAACGGTATTTTAGGAACACTGCACGGCTACCCATGGCCGGTACGGGCGGCTGACGGAAACCGACGAACTCGCCGACGAGAGAGACGGGCCGACAATACTACATGAACGGAGCCCTGCATCTTGCATATTTGTTCAAAACACAAACAACGATACTTTAAGTGCTCCTATTTAAAAAAAGGGACAGGCCTGTGTGAGTTGCATGGTGCTGTGTGACGTAGTTCACAACTAAGTCGTGAAAAGCCGAAATCGGTAGATTTTCAAGAAAAAACGACATTTGACCTCCCCTAGTGGTGTCAGTCATTGACCGTACAGCATAAAAAGTGTTAATAATCGTGAGTCACGAGATTTCATTCCGATCAATCCACTATTCGTTTTCTTCGCGAGGCTCTATTTTCGTTAGCTTGGAAACGACAGGAGGATCGCATCGACACCCCCTCCTCACTAGTCCGCGTTATGAAAAACTGCGAATTCGGACGAAGATTAAGCAGGCGACGACATTTGTGGCAGTTAGAAGTACGGCACCAGGCCGCCTAAGTCTTACATTAACTGTAGGAAAAAAACTGACATAATCACCCGGCCGCTGCTGGTGCGGCGTCCCTAAAAACCAACATCTTGATGGCTTCTTATCGCAAAACATTACAGTTTTCAGCAGTAAGAATTGCCGGTCGTAACATATCGTTATGTCTATCTGTTCGGATATTTGCCAAAATATCTTAGATTAGGAGATCATTTCCCGCAACATGCCGCGTTTAACCAAATATGGTCTTTCTACTCGATCAACACAAGGAGCGAGAAGGATGCGAATTGCGCAGAAAATGCACTAAACAAGTCAAAGCCTGGTTCGTAGGCCGTATGTTGACGAACCGGCGTACGCTTCAGACCGATACACTTGGACAGAGAAGACAGAATTTTGTACTGACAAAGTGTAACTTGATTTGCTCAGCCGATCACGCAGTGGACTCAAACCATGGGCGCCCGTTACGGGGCATTTTAAGAATTAGTCAGCTCTCGGCAGCAAGGGAAGATACCGCTGTGACAAACATCGCTCGGCTGATGCGTTAAATGTCCGTAATGATGCAGCAAATGCGGTAACGGGCCAATGTCGCGCTTTCCTAAGCCGGTCTCCAGCACAAGATGCTGCAGCATAAGCCATACGAGATTCACCATGAAAGCTACAAGGTCGTGCGGCTCAAATTACGTCATCCGTCCCATTTCCTCAAGGCATCTCACTGGTGACTGTTTTGGCTGTTGTGTTGCAAATGCACACAGAAATGCATTAATCAATCCTGGCACCAACCCATATAGATATAACCGGACGTGTACCACACGGACTGCGACGGCACGCCTGGAACGAATGCGCAGCCACCATAGCTACCGTTCATGTTATTTGTAGTGTCTTATTCGGGTGTCACCGCCTTATCCATGATGTGTCACCTTGGCATGACCGTCAATGTCATCCTGGCGTGGTCATCTTGAGCGTGGTGTGTCATTCTGGTATGGCCGCCTCACCCGTAGTGTGTCATCCTGGTGTGCCCGAGGCGGGAGGCGATCTCCTCCACCACGCCGAACCGGATCGGGGTGTTGCGCACCACCAGCAGGCCGTGGGAGATGAGTCGGTGGAGCGTCTCCCGCAGCACGCTCAGGTCTCCGAGCAGCTCCTTGTAGTCGACCTTGAACAGGCTATGCTCCATGGCGGCCCGGTCCCACAGCACCGTCTGCAGGACGGTGGACGGCAATTGGCGCTGGTTAGCCTTTCAGGTAAGGGCACTTGCGGGTGCTGGAGAGTTACTTCCGTATTGATGCCTGCATTCCCTGCATGCATCACAGGTGGCGTGGCTACCAGTTAGCCCTTCATGTTAAGGCCAATGACCTTTATGCCTTTCTTAGAAGGCGTTGCTTTTCTCAACCATTCTAAGATCCAGACAGGCGTGTCGGATTGTAAGGCCAAATTAAATTTCGCACCTGTCAAGCAGGATAGTGAAGGGCCAAAAATGGCACAAGCTCATGTGTACCCATTTTTGCACACACACTCAAGCCACGTCCACATATTTGTGGGCTATGCATCGCGGGCGGCCACATGACTCACAGACCTGTAATGTCAGTCTTCAGCAAATACAGACACAATCAATCTGCTGGGAAGTCGCACTGTCCTACACATGGCGTCAAGCACCATCCAGGCCGTCCATCACTTTCCATCAAACGGGCACAATGTCTCTCCGCACCATTCATTGTCTCTAGTCACACAGTCACAATGTCTCTCCGCGCCATCCATTGTCTCTCATTACACGGCCACAATATGTTGACATACCGAGCCACAAACTCATCAAACAGAACCACAATCTCTTGTCAAACGTAGCCATATTTTTTGCACATACAACCACAATGTATCAATTCACAAACAAAATCACAATACAAATACACAAACCATATATATCAATACACACAAATTGGTCACACACAACCACAATCTATCAATACACGAAGATGTGATATAGCCACAGGCATTAATTCCCTGGCGCATGGCCCTAATGGCTCGCAGGATTCATGGTCCCTCACCTCATAGTAACTCGCCACAAACAGGCGCAATCTCTCGCCTCACGTAGTCACAGCTCACCACACACAGTCAGAGCTCACCACACGCAGTCACAACCTCTCACCACACACGAAGCCAGTCTCTCGCCACACACAGCCACAATCTCCTGACACGTGCCCACACTCGCTCGCCACATTGGCCGCCAGTCTCTCGCCACACACAGCAACAATCTCCTGACACGTGCCCACACTCGCTCGCCACATTGGCAGCCAGTCTCTCGCCACCCACAGCCACAATCTCCTGACACCTGCCCACACTCGCTCGCCACATTGGTCGCCAGTCTCTCGCCACACACAACCACAATCTCCAAATCCCCAGCACCTCCTCCCATGCAGCCGCGCGCCCTCACAGCCCGGCCATCTTCAGGGGCAGCAGAGCGGCGCTGACCCTGGGTCCGGCCTGCTCCTTCTTGCGCTCCTTCAGCTGCTGCGGCGTGAACTGGCGCTGGCCCAGCCAGTCGTGTGGGAAGCGGGAGACGTGGCCGTCCGGCCAGGTGATGACTACCTCCTGGGCGTCCGGGTCGTTCTGCAACAGCGCAGTCGGAGAGCGTAGTCGCGTGGTGTGTTGGCGGGGTGTCTTTGATCGGTATTCGAAATGTAGCTAGCCGAGATTTTGTTAGAAAAAGGACCTCGTGCTCTCACATTGATGTTGAAAGCACACACGTATTCTAAATCTGTCTTTCAAATGCATTTGACCTGCCAGAATCTGTGCTCGGAGTTGACACCTGAATTTTTACACCCCATCTGCACGTCCGTCTCAACACCTGATCCTGTCCAACTGCATCATCCGTGCACACGCACCCGAACAGAGCGCGGAACGATGCCGACGTCCAGCTGGTCGATGCGCAGCTTGCGACTCAGCGCGCTGGGGTGATAGCAGCCAGGGCAGAGGCAGCTGTCCCGCAGCCACACGTATGGGAACTGGCCGACATCGCCGTTGTTCCAGGTCAGGTCGACGCTACCGACGTCTCGGTTGTCGGCCGCCTGCTCCACGTGCCAGACCGGCCGGGGCGCCCCTGTCGCAGCAGGGCGGATCGTGAACCAAGGGTCGCCGTCCCGAGAGCTGTGCGGACACCGCCGCTTGCTGTCTAGACACCGCCGTTAGTTACCTACGGAAAATGGCGTATTCTTTTTACAGAGCCGGGATGCTGGCCCTCCACTGCCCGTTGCCGTGATGGGACACTGCGGACATCACACATTATCGTGATGCGACACTGCGAACATCACCATCGTGATGCGAGAATGCGATCATCACCATCGTGATGCAAGAATGCGATCATCACCATCATGATGCTACGCTGCGAACGTTACCATCGTGATGCAAAAATGCGATCATCACCATCGTGATGCGACACTGCGAACATCACCATCGTGATGCGACACTGCGAACATCACCCGTCAACGCGGTGCGGCACCGCGGACATCACCCGTTACTGTAATGCAACGCTGCGGATATCACCCGTTCCGTAATACGACACTGCAGACATCAGCCGCTACCGTGATGTGACACTGCGGACATCACCCATTATCGTGATGCGACACTGCGAACATCACCATCGTGATACGACATTGCGAACATCACCCGTCAGCGTGGTGCGGCACTGCGGACATCACCCGTTGCTGTAATGCAACGCCGCGGATATCACCCGCTGCCGTGATGCGGTACCGAGGACATCACCCGTTATCGTGATGCGACACTGCGGACATCACCCGTTACCACGGTGCGACACTGCGGACATCACCCGCTACTGTGATGCGATACCGCGGACATCACCCGCTACCGTGATGCGATACCGCGGACATCATCTGTCACTGGCCAGCGACACAGTTTGGCCGCCGGCCGTGATCAGTCTGTGGGACTGGCGTGCCACAGTTCGCAACTGGCCGCCCTGTAACACTACATGGGCCTGATCTGTTACTGATGGCGCGGCCACGTCAGCTCTCAGGACATCCACCGTGAGTACTGTGCAGCATTTGCAAATTCGACGGTGTCAAACGTACAGGACGGTGAAGGAACAAGAACAACCACAGCTTTGGGAGAGGCTTCCATTTAACTATGAGCATGAGTCCATGCGTGGCCAAAGCCCCGAAACAGCCTCCTGAGAACGGAAAAATGATCAAAGGTTACAGTAAAAAGGCAGTAAAATTGCCCGCAGTTGATTTTACATCCATAGTGAAATGTTTGCAAACAAGCCTCAGGTCCCGCTAGGTCGCAGAACCATGGCTACCATAATGTGCCATGATATGTTTTTACATTATCGCGAGCGTGTGGCGAATATTTTTGACCTGCTGAGATCCAGTGTTAAGTCAATCGGCCAAAGCTTTCAGTCCACCGGACATTTTATTGTGCTATTTTTCCACACATTTTCTAGACAAGTGATGCCTGGCATCTATGAATTACTGAATTTTTTTATCTCACCGGCCTCGCAAACCAGGCGACATAAAGTAATACAATATCACATGAGGAGCGGACGCTTAACCAGTAGCATAGTACAAACGTAGCTGCCCCGGGGCGCGTGCCCCACCCCGTTACCAAATTTATGGCACGCATTGATATGTGCGTAACTTGATATTGATGGCTTAGAATTGCATGTAGACTCGTAAGAATAAAAAGATCAAGAAGATGCGATGGTATTTTAAGACATGCAAGAAGTTGTGCGCGTCTGCTGAGCGCTTCACTCGGTTGCAAGTGGATTTTTTTAAATTGTACCCCTGTACCCCGGTACCCCTCAGGAAGTTCTGCATACACCCCTGGCTCAAAGCGTTTTCAGGACTTGCTAATTGTTGCATCTTCCGCCCGGGATCGTATAATTCAGTTGAGGGGGTCCAGCCTCCTTCCCCAAAGTGGGCTCCAGTCCTACTACTTTTGAGAAGAAAGGGGCCAAATCTGGCGAGAAGCACGTGTATTCGTTTATTTTGGGGACAGTTTTGGTGAATTCTCACTGCTCAGCCTTCAGTGCATCATTCGCAGCTGCTAGGTGGGGCATAATTTTTATCATATGTTGCTTGGTCACATGGAGCAGTAACAGTGAGTTTCAAGCTCAGTTCGTACTGCAGGATAGTTTGGTCGGGAAAATGAACAATACCACCGTCATTTTATTCGCACTTCGTTCGTTTCACTTGGCCGTAAGTTTGCGGGGTGGTTGGCCCAAGTGAGCTTAATACTTCCTAGATTTGGTTAACTCTTTTTGAAAGATGTATGGAAAATAGCCTGGTGTAAATGAAAATACCCAGCGGACCGAAACCTGTCAACAATAGGCTGAGCAACGGTCTTCAGCGCAACGAATGCAGCAACGATCTGGTCTTGGAAATTACTTTGCCGACCTCGTGTCGTATCATGTACCAGCATACTGGTCGCCATCAAGTTCGATGACGTTCCCAAGGCCAAAGTACGCCTCGAAGAGTCGCAATTTTGCGACTCCGCGTCTTAAGTGTAATGTTTATATGATCTGGAGGGTCAATGGCTCCGCCAAAGGATCCAAGCAGGCAGCATCATGCTTTTTAGACACCACACTATCCGTCGGTTTTGTTAAGTTTTTTACGATTAGCGACCAGATGGCTTTGGGCGTGCCTAATCTCCTACTCGCTAGCGACGCGAGTGAGAATGGCCGCCACCCGACGGAGCTAAAGGAACTGAGGCCAACGTGCTGTTCTGCATTGTACGGAGATCTGGTGTCGCCCTTTCTAAAACAGAGCGCTTGTCGAGAAACACGCTTTACCGAAACATTTTCCGGCTCCGCCTCGCAGCTCGTGCGGCTATTTCCATTCCGACTCCGTCTCGCAGCTCGTGCGGTTATCTCCATTTCGACTCCGTCTCGCCGTGCGGCTATTTCCATTCCGACTCCCTCTCGCAGCTCGTGCGGTTACCTCCATTCCGACTCCGTCTTGCAGCTCGTGCGGCATTTCCATTCCGACTCTCTGAGCAGTACACAACAATTTTGGGTCTACTTCGATTACTTATCACAGCGCCTGGAGAGGAGTCAGATTCTTATTCGGAGAGGCACAGGACTGCCCCAAAGTGGCTCCGATTTATGGAGCCGTAAAACAAATTATCAACAAGATATGGTTTACTCCTGGAGACCACTACGATGGAGTCATTTAGATTCATAACAATTCAGAAATGTTATGTGGGTGATATAATAGCATGTATGTCACACACACACACACACACACACACACACACACACACACACACACACACACACACACACACACACACACACACACACACACACACACACACAACACACACACAAACACACACACACACACACACACACACACACACACACACACATACATGCATACACATACAAATACACACCCGCATATATGTGTATATACATATATATATATATATATATATATATATATATATATATATATATTACGAAATAGTAATGTAGATACTTGATCAATTCCTCCATACATATAAGAGCTGTGGCAAAAAGAATATCTGTCACCAGTTACAGATATACTTAAGTTGATTCATTGTTAACGTCAATACGGCAACCCCATTCCAACACACGCAGGTTTCGAAAACCGTTGACTACGCGCTAAAGTAACCTAAATTCTGTTGATTCCACGGTTAACTCCACTTCCGTCGGGTCTCAGCACAGGTGCGATGACCCAGTCGCATGCTCCCAACAAAATCACTGAACAAAACCTTTACACCAGGCCACTCATTGCGTATCACATGCGTACTCTGAAAGTCTGCCTGCGAGCGCCATATGTCGTGGAGTACGAATGTGGCATGCGGTGAACCTCGGCCGTTACCCGAATTAAATAGATGAACTGTATGCGGACAACGCAGCCAAGTTTGTCTATTGGGATAGCTCGTACACTTGTTGGAAACTTTTGTTCATTGAGGGGGCTGAAATCCCCGTCATACAACTTAGAAGATATTCCCGGACCGACAGTTCATCCGCGTCACGTTCGTTTTGTCTCGGCCGCTTACGGCCCAATGAGGCGTTAGTCAAGTTTACTCGTCAGTTATGGGTTCACCACCAGATACAAACGTTGTTGCGATATAAAACACGCCAAGAAGTACCCATTCTTGGGCTTTTCAGTCTAAGAATACCCCAAGGAAAAAGATGACTGCATTGTTGGCGCGCCTTTAAGCCCAAATAACGGCCGCAAGGATACGGCTTGTAATAACCGTCCCGTCTCTATCCCGTCCCCTGTGCATGCGTACCTGCGGGCAGCGCGCTGTAGGCGAGCCGGCCGGCCTGGGCCAGGCCGGGCTGGTCGGTCCGGCCGGCGCGCGGCCCGCGCGGGTCGCGGCCCGGACCGGTCACGGCCGCCGTGCTGGCCAGCCGGCGACCCACCATGCCGACCAGCAGCTGCATTCGGCGCGCGCACCGGCTGACGGACGCCATGGTGGACATCCGGCGGACGGCGAGGAGCTGACGAGACTGGCCGCCGCCGCACCCGGGGACTGGTCGGGCTCGCGGCCACGGGGAGGGGAGGGGCGGGCGGCGCGTGCGCAGGTCTAAAAGGTCAGAAGTCTGTCAAGTGATCCGAGAGAGGAACGCGTGGTTGAAGGTTATACGTCGATGATATAGCAGGCTGGAGCAAAAAAAAAACTTTGTGAATTACGCTGGATTGGCTTTTTTGTCGTAACAGAGCACTTAATATAGATAAATGGTGTGATTCCCACGCACCATAATCATACCGAACCCTCTAAAATCAGTACAATAAGCTGGGTTGCAAGTGAAGTCAAAGCTGCCTGTGTCCAAAGCTGTTGTAACTACGAGGGCAAACGGGGTGATCCGGTAATTCAAATCAAACAATCCTTACCTGCAGCTGAATTTGTCAGTGAACCATAAGGGATCAAAAACCTTACTAGCAAGACCGCTGGCTGAGCGACTCTTGATGTCAATAATTGGAAATGCTCTAGCTTCAGGGGCTTAGCTCAACCGGGCCTGGTCTGACCGGTCACGCATTTGAGGGGGTTAGATGTTTGCAACCACTCATTGCACCAGAACAACATTTTCGGTAACAAGTGACACCATTTTTCATAGGTTTTATTGAAATATAACCAAGGCACTTTTAGGCAGCTTGATCCGGTAGTGATTTTCTCCATCGACTCAGCACTGACAATATTTCAGCCCCCCCCCCCCTCCCCCTCCTCCTATTCCATCGACATGATAAATCTGGCATTTTTAAATAGAAAAAGGCTGAAGGATGCGGGTCGAAATAGGTTCGGATTTTTGTCGCCCGTCGTCACGGTAAGATGAGACTAATTGGCACCAGTGGGGAAGGAAAACGGACAACGGTAATGGCAAAGCGTGAGATGATGTTTGCAGAGCATCCAATCCAATGGTGCGCAAACAATGGATC